ACATGATGCAGAATTGATTGCAATTGAATGAGGGATCCCTCATCCCTCACATTAGGAGTGAAGGGGGTTGGCCAGTGCCCAATGTAATGGTTTCAATAAGGGCCCATGTGGATGCAAGATGGGCTATGTGTTTCAATCAGATATCAAGTTGATATATATCCCCACATGTGAATGTGAGGAGCCTTGTTTGAATCAAAATCAATAAACAATAGACCCACATAAGTAGGATCTGAATCCAAAGCAAGACCACATATTGGAAATTCCCATTTCATGATGCTGACCAACTTCTATTCTTTTCATTGTGGAATAATCTTCCACTATCATCTTCTATTCTAGAACAACCATGCTAGGCCAGTCATTGGGTCACCATTATTTTGGGCTTGTCATGTCTCTAGAATTTTAATTATTCAAAACAAACTCACTTTCAGACTGCTGTGCACTGAAAAGCACAGCTCCTTTTCCTATGTCAAGAGGGTTTGAATTCTATAGGGACCAGCTAAAATGATGGTTCTCACCATTGGCTCAGCATCTTCCGGTCAGAAATCACTCTCCACACACTCTCACTACATTGAGTCAATGATTGTGCAACTGGGAAGGCACAAAATTGGACTCAATTCTCATTCAATTCCTTGATGAAATCAAAATCCTCACTAAATTCCATGGTCAATTTGTATCTAAGGTATAAAGTAAAACATTATTTATATATGGGTCCCTTGCGTGAGTGGTTGCAATTTAAAATCTGTTTTGGGTAGGTGGACTGAATGGTCAGCATCACCAAGTATGTGTTTGGTACCGCTTATATTTATTAAATAAATATTTGTATTTTATTTGCTGATAAAATCGAGAAATGTAATAATTATAATCGTTTATGACAACTATGCATCACTTCAGCGTAACAATAAATAAACACCTGACTGTTTATAGAAGTTTCAAAAAATAATTTCTACAAATGGCTGGCATGCACATAAACCAAAATTCATTTTTTACATTTTCGATATATGCAAAAGAATATAAGAGAGAGAAAATGCTGAAATGACGCCTATATGACAACATCAACAAACGTTTATTGAATAAACATAAAGATACCAAACATCACCTAAGATGGACTGGAAGTCTTCTGTGTTGAATGGATGGATTCTGTGTCCAAAAGCCACCACTCGGATGGAAGATCCCATGCACATTGGATCAATATCTTATTGGAAATTGAGATACGTTATCCTATCCATCCCATTGATCATGTTAGCAGCCTTACATGGAGGATGGAGACTTGCCTAGATAATTATATTAAAAACTATTGATAGATTAAACACCGCCCATGGTTGTCATTTGTTAACTACTTTTTATATAAACCCAAGAAAGAATTGAATACAAATTGGATCTAATTAAGCGTTCGAAATTCAATCCATTGATAATTGAATTGAATATGATCCAAATCGCAGCTTTGCATAAAAAAGATCAGTCAAAGACTGGTCCCATGACACAGAATGTTTTTAGGAGACAGACATTTGAATATGTATCATTTTGTAACAAATTCTTACTACTCTTTTGGTTTTCTTTCTTTTTCTTGTAATTAGTTGTTCTGTTAGACTCTTGATTCCTATATCAATTGCAAGGGTTAATGGATTCAAACGTATCCATCCATGATTTGATGAGTACAACATTCATAATAGCTAATTAAATCACTCTTGAAGACTTAGGACTGTGTTTGGTACCATTGTCATTTTTACATTTACTTGTAACATTTTAGGTTAGTCAATATCATTGTTGTTTCTTTAGGCAACGTTAAATTTTGTGTTTTTACTATAAATGTTAATATCTAATACAATGACTATATTTTTTTAGTAGATGTGATTATCGGATATGATGTAATAAGACAAATTTTCAAAAATTTGTATTGACCAACTTAAAATATTATAGGTAGAAGTAGCAATGGTACCAAATACATCCCTAGTATCATTAGAAAGAATCCACAATTATCAAAGAGGTTTATTTATTGAGAGTTGCCATTCAAAAAATTATCATATTAAGAAAATAACATAGCTGCAAATTTTGATAACCACACAAACAACTGAAACTTTCATTATTTAAAAGGAATATTGATTGGATATTTCTTACTTATTTGCTAAACAAGTGAGCAGTTAAAAACTGTGCCCATCAATTGAGAAAAGTGGCTTCAATCCTAGCATGAAGTCCAAAATAAGACAGTCTATTGCTCAATATTTTTTTTTGAAGGTTTGTCTATGGTTCAATAATTAATATATAATTGATGATATATGCATCTGGATTTATTCTTTTTAGAAGAAAATAGGAGTGCACATATTTTTTTGATAAAAGGCTTGTCCCTAACTACTAGTAAAAAAGAATATTTTTTTATTGCCCCTACTCAAAATCTTTTAGGGGAATTACTGATATTGTCATATTATAATTAATAACAATTAAGGGGTGCTCCACAGCCAATATGTATGATTTTGTTTTGAAAGGCTATTGAAATTTGAAAGTACTTTTGCCATTTTTACTCTTTGAGAAACAACCATTTAGGCTGTGTTTGGTTGCAATGCAAATAAATTTGCACTGATGCAAAATCATAGCAGTGCAAATGATTTGAATGTAAATTATGACCAATTTTTGTTTCAAATTTTAGTTCATTTTGTTTGATTACAATAAAAATGAAGTAAATTAAGACATGAAGTAGAATAAAATAAAATCCAAAACAAAATTAAATAATAATTTGAATTTTTTACATTTACACTCAAATGCATTTGTACTAGTGCAAATAAAATTGCACTGCAACCAAACATAGCCTCACAATTATCTTAGCCTTGGCTGCAGTTTCTTTCTTGACTAAAAATAACCTTGACATTACCCCATTATAAAAAGAACTGTCCAAAAGGGTAAAAATACATCACACCATATTCTCTTTGCACTATTGACAAAAAAAAAGATTATGTATAATCATATAATATAAACAAACCTAGAAAACAGGATAGATGATGGTCATTCTCTTTTGTATCTTTCAAATGGTGACAAAAGGAGTCAAAACTATGTGAAACAAAAGGATAACAGACAAAAAGTAACTTGACGGCAATGCAAAATTTTAGGAAAGGGTTAGAAAGAGAGAAATATTCAAAATTGATAAATGGAGAGTTTTCTCTTAGCTAAAATAACCTGATGGATATTGTTGGACTTTAATTTCTCTAGAAGATTAAAATTCGATGGGGTTTGATTAATAAATTATATGGAGAAAAACACACTTCACATACACCTTGAGAATTGGTTTTAAAATTTCCAACAAAACTTTGTTTTACTTGTTTTTAATCTTGTCCCACATTGAAATATTATTGAACCTGTTTTGAGCTTTAAGTATGAACTTGTTTATACTTTTTAGAGTGACAAAGGAAAGTATAAAGACTTCCTACCGCGCAATGCACTCATGCGTGTATATGCAGTGCAATGAGTTGCTTTAAAGGCGCATTTTGCTTGCACTAGTGCGATGATAATTTGATGTGGTGAGAAAGTTTGCAATAACACATTAATTGCATACTATAATTTTACAAAATCACAAAGTTGCAATACATTAGTTGCACACATTGCAATTTGAGCCACATATAAGGATGCATTTGGTTTGAAGGATTAAACATAACCATTGACATTTTAAGTTAATCCAATAGTCATGACTTGATCGGGTGTGATAAATGGACAATATTTAAATATTAACGATCACTAGTTATTAATTAACTGAGAAGTCACAAAATTTGAAATTGTAATTGTACAAAGAGACCCTTCAAACTAACACATCCCTCTTTGAGATGATTTAAAGGAGGTAAACCAAGTCGCTTGACACAATTTTTTGATCACTTCTAATTGTTTCTTTCAATCTGATTTGCTACTGTCTCACAGAAGATTTTTTTGGAAATTCTTCAACTTTGTTAATTGTAGTTTCTCACCAAAGGCTTTATTGTATCCTAATTAGGAACAAATTTGCATGTAACCCAACAACAAATTTAGTAAAATTGAATAGGGACAAATAACATTTTAAAGAATGTCTTTAGATATGCCTCATAGCTTTTCCTCCAAAATTTGTGATCCCAATTTCTCTAATAGATTGCAGAGCTATTTTTCATCTTCTTCACTGTTCACTTAACTTCTGTCCTCGGTATTGCAACAAGGCTACCCATTTGTACGGCTGCAATGGTTGTTGGGACTGTGTTGAGATTAGATCCATCCTCCAGTCTAATGCAACCCTCCTCTCTATATAAAACAAGCTCACATTGGCAGAATTAATCCCTATTGGCTCTTGGAAGGGCTTCATCTTTGATTTATCTCGGTTGAAGAAACTGGTGAAACTTTCTTTGAAAATGTCAATTTAATAGCTCAATTAAGTATATATTAGCTTTTTGGATATTTCATCAAACATAACTTCTAGGCTTTTCATATGAGGCCCACCTTGCAACACAATACTGTTTGTGGAAGCACCCCCAAACAGTCACTGATATAACTAAAATCAAAGGAAGTGTTTCTTAAATTGCTGAATAGAGATTCCGTTTGAAGGGTATGTAAGGTTGTTTTGCATTTTAATGGGCCACCCAAATCAATCTCTCAGGGTGAGAGGATTTCAAGGTCTACTCACCTACACCTAGTATAATCAATTAATCCTTTTGGAATTATCCTCTTTTAGAAACCTTGGAATCATCGATTAAGCCAAGGTCCACTGGCCCTAGTTTCTCTTTTCTCATACGCAAAGGAATCATGACTTCTCATGAGGCCAGAATTGAACTAAAAAAATGAAAATTAAAAAAATAGGAGACGATGGAAGTTGGAACTTGGAACTATGTCACATGGGCGTGCAAGCAAATGATGTTATCACCTTTTTTTTGATAGATTAAATGATATTAAATACCACCTTTATTTCTTGTATTACCAGTCAGTGATTCTGTTTTAATTAATGAACATAAAGCAAATAGAATAGAATCTGCGGTGATAACATCAAAATGGATTGCCCAACCAGCTAGAACTTCTGGTTGGGCGGAGTTTGCGTTGCGTGAATGGAGGAGTTTGGTTTGGTGGAAATTAGGAAGAGTTCAGGTGGTGATGGGCCGCAGTTTGCTGACACCCACAAAAAAGTACCGTTCAAAATTAAGTCTGTTAACTGTAAACGTTTACCAATCAGAACCCAGTCAGTCGTTTCAGTTTCTTCTTTTCTTCCTCTTAAATTGAAGGGAGAGAAGACGAAGAAGAGGGACAGCAGAAGAAAGGGAGAGGGGAGAGAGTGTGAGAGAGGTTTATGGTTTTTGATGGAGATTTGGGTGAACTGAAGGAGGACCCACTTCACGTTCATCTTCATCTTCATCAATCTCCACTCTCTCTTTGACCAGATCCTTCCGTTCTGTGATAATTCCATTTCCTCTGTACTTTTTTTTTTTTAATTGGGTTCGTATACTTTGTGACTGATTTTAAAATTTGTTGGTTGCACCTAATTGAGAAGCATTGCTAACTTTTATTCCTGAAGATCCGTGTTTTTCTTTCTCCAAGTATCAGAAAGATATTGGTATTTGAATCCAGATTCAACCCTACTTCTCTTAATTCTCATTTGTCAGCCACCCATAACATAATATCTACAGACAACAGTCTTCTTACCTTTGTAACCAGTTCCTTGTTCAACCATTCCTTCTATTTTTTTCTCCCCTTTTCACTTTCCTATCTCTAATTGACAGCTGTCCTGAATGCTTCAAGGTTTCACCAATAGGGATCACTGTAACACAGAGGCTAGTTGATCATCGGAGGAGCTCTTCTGCTGGCTCTGGAGCTTTGAAGTTTGGGTTGATTAATCTAACTACCACCAATAAAACCTTGTCGTTTATGCGTGTAGAGTGGACACCCATATCCATCTTTGGACTAAAACCTGAATGAGGTCCCACTAACAGAATTCTGTTATCCAATGCTCTCTCGCATTGGTAGATTCCATTTCTTTCGTTCTCTGTAATTTTAAGGGGGTGAGGGGCTGAGGGGCTGAGGGGAAGGGAGGTGTTCAAGGGAGGAGATTTCAGACATCAGACCTTTTCTTTTATATATATCACCATTGCTTTTTCTTTTTCCTCAATTGGGTCCTCTCCTTTCTTCTTTTATCTTTTGTGCCAAACTTGAATCAACCAATCTGAGAACTACCCTTATCTGATGCTTTTCTTCCTGATATCCTGCCTCTCCTTCATCATTCTTTCCAAGTCCCTTTCTCTCAAGCCTCTCCCACCATGGGCGAGTAAGTTGAAATTGCTCTCGATTTGGTTTTGGCAGGAATTTTCATCTTTTCTTGTATCCTGGTCAAGAGAAAGTAAGCTAACCGGCAGTTTTTTCCAAAGTCCCGCAAGTATGCCTATGAACAAGAGGCCTGCTAGTCTGAAACTAGAGATTGTGGAGGAGACACCAGAGATGTCCATATTGGATTTGCCTGAATTGGCCTTGGAATGCATTCTCGGAAAGCTTCCCCCATCTGGGTTGTGTCGCATGGCTGGAGTTTGTCGCTCTTTGAGGGACAGATGCAGGAGTAACCACCTATGGGAGAGTCATATGAAGAAGAAATGGGGTGGAGTAATAGACCGTGCAGCTTATCGTGAATGGCAATGGCATATTGCTTCTATGAAGGATGTCAGTGCACCAAGGAAAACCAAGAAGAAATCCTTGGTCATGTCTCTTTCCTGTATGTGCTCTATTCCATGGGCTAGATCGAAGTATGACAAGCCGAGGAGTTCTTTGCCTGTGGATTCGATCATGTCTTGGTATCTCGCTCTTGAAAGCGGCAAGTTCTGGTTCCCTGCTCAGGTCTACAACCGCGAGGTATTGAACTGAAGACATTACTTCAATTTTCAATCTCTCTTATCTCTATTCAGTTTTTCTCTTTGTTACTGAAATGGCTGGATCTTTTTCTTTTTTGTTCTGATTTTCTTATTAGAAATCATTAATTTGCTTCAGTTTGACAAAGATCCATGACTTCAAGCTCTAATTGACTTGGATTCTTATTTTCTATGTTTCCCTTGAGCTGGGTGCTGTTGATATAAGCTTTGTTGTGTGGTTGCCTGCTGCTTACTGAAAGTATTCTGAATCTTTTTTTTCCTTTTTTGGCAGCATGGGCATGTGGGCTTCATGTTGTCTTGTTATGACGCAGAGCTTAGCTATGATAGCCGCACAGATACATTCTATGCCAGGTAATAGAGAAGATGGTTTTCTTTAACATGAATTCTTGTGGACTTATTCACTGCTCATGCTGTTATATGCTCTGAAACATCTTGTTCTGATTCTTTAAAGCCTTTTGTTGTGTTTAGTTGTAAACAAGAAAAAGGATTTACATATTTTCAGGTGGTTTTGGTTTGTCTCAGTGCAAATCAATTCATGTTAGAGGCATTTGTCCCTGTGGTTGTCTATGATGAGATGTAGAATGTGTCTTGACAGATGATTTTTTCTATTACTTTTATGTAGATACCCACCACATGGTAGGCGGACAGCTGTGATAGAAGATGGTGTGCAGTGGGATAGGATAAGAGCACCACCTGTTGATACTCCTCCACATGATCTTCATGTCTCTGACTGTTTAAATGATTTACACCCTGGTGATCATATTGAGATTCAGTGGAGAAGGAATAAGGAGTTTCCATATGGTATGCTCTTTAAGAGATAAGTTTTTATGCTTTCTGAAATCCCTAGCTTTCACCAAGATTACTGTGCAAGAACAAAATTCGTTTTCAATCTTCTGCAGGAATTTAGCTTGTTTTCCTTTACTAGTTTGTATTTTTCAATAATTAGATATGGCATTTCAACATGTAAATTAATCCAACCTTACTGTGAATTCATGCATAAATACAACTTTCTCTTCATGCTAATGTGTTCTATATTTGTTTCAGGTTGGTGGTATGGAGTTGTGGGTCACCTGGAATCCTGTGATAGAAATGAGAATCACTGCCTCTGTTCTTATAGTGGTAAGAAAATCAAGGATGCTAGTAGCTGATCTTTTTCTTTCAACTAGATTTATATTTTGTGAGCATTTAGTCTTTATGGAAAAATGACTAGAGATAGAGAAGTTCTATTTCTGTAAGCACAGTCTGATTCCCTGCCCATAAAGTTACTTTCGTACTCCACCTAACTATTTTGTTACCTAGAAACTATTTATATCAAACAAATTTTGTCCTGGACACTTTTGTGAAAACCATCTGGCTGTCAAACAGGAGTACCTACTCTCTATTTACCATCCCACATGATGAACTTGCCAACAACTTTCTAATTTTCTACCTCAGAAGAATCCTGAAGGCCAAACAGACTGGAACATATTTTCTCAGTCTCCCTTGTTATCTCTCAATATGCAGCCTTAACCAGATGGGTTTGCCAGTCAAGTTACCAAATGACTGTCATTTGATGTCCCACTTGACTATAATTTTATGTCCTACTAGACCTCATTATTCCTTGCTATTCAGCTTTAATGCAAAAATTACAGCGCAAAAATCAGTTCATGTATCAATTAACTTAAGGAGCCTAGTAAAATCTTTTGGAGCTTGGTAATATTTACTTCTAATGTGTAATGTAAGTATGAAGATTCACTTCATTATAGAGAAAATGGGTCCTGTCCAAAATACCTATCTCAAAGATGGGATAAAAGTAATGCCCTATTTCACCTGGTTCACTCATTAAATAATAAAATGGAAAACCAGAATAGTTGTTATGGGCCTTGGTTGTTTACGTTTTTCAATTCTATCATCTTCTAGTTTCTTGTGTATGTGAAAATGATCCCTTATTCAGATAAGCATATCAAATGGTTTGGAACAACATTCAGATCAATGTAAACCCAAATTAACTTCTACTTGTCTCATGTAACCAATAGAGAATGGCCAACCTCATATTGGTATTAAGGCTTGAGTTGAGTTGATGTGATCATTTAATCTATAGGGAACCTTATTGGTTGGAACAGAATTCGAAGTGCTGCCCTAAATGAGTGTCAATGTCTTCAGTTCATGGACTGAATTGAAGACTGGAAAGAAATGTTGATTCCTAATTCTTAGTATCTAAAGGGCAGCACAGTACATGAGGCTCCCGCAAATGCGGGGTCTGGGAAGGGATAAGTGCACACAGCCTTAACCTTGAAGATACACAGAGAGGCTGCTTCCAAGATTCGATCCCTGGTCACCCAGGTCACAATGGAGTAACCTAACCATTGAAGGGAATATGTCATTCTTAGCATCTAGTCAAAGGAAATATGTTGAGTTCACTGCCATTGAAGAAGGGATTAAGCAAAAGTTCAGTCATGCTCAAGTATATGAAGTTCCTATAACGGCTCTCTGAAACCTCTCTTAAAGTAGAAGATATCCTGCAACCATAAGAGATTCCATATCCACTTGCCTTATTGGAAACTCGGGATTCAGGTTTTTGATTTGGTCTATATGGATTACTTTCAAGAAGATCTTTATAGATCATACTGAATAATTAATACCAAACAATCTGGTGGTCTCTAATTTCTTAGCCATGGTGTGCTGATACACAGTTCTCACATGCTTGGGGTCAAGACCCGGCATTCATTATGTCTTCCTGTAAGATCAAATTTTCATCAAGTTTGCCAGTACAGATCTTTGATAGATGGTTGTAAGCATCCGTCCTGCATGCATCCTTTTGAAACTTTTTAATCAAGTAGTATATCATTTTTATATTACTCAGGATGCAACTAAATAGTGAACAGATCAACTCCCTTCTTTAGGATGTTCTACCTTTTTTCTTTCCTGTTTAGTATGTGTTGATCTTATTTCTTTAATTTTTTTTTCTCTTGATTTGTCCAATAGTAATGTTTTGTCAACTGCTCACCTAATGATATGACTAAAACTAATGCATGCTGACAGATACTGTGGTTCTGGAGTTCAACCAGTACACCCATGGATCACGGTGGAGGCAAACAACCATTAGCAGGAAGGATCATCGGGAAGAAGGTAATGAAGCAGATGGATTTTATGGAGGAATCAGGAAACTTTACTGTAAGGAGGAGATCTCAACATGGAAGCGGCTATGGCCAAAGGAGGTTTTAGAATAGGTTGATATAGCTTGAATCACAATACACACTAGTGCCTATGTGGTTCTTAGGGTCTAAAATTAGGATTCAATTTAAGTTGGGTGGATGTGGAGGCCATGTTTTTTCCGGCTGGTGGGAATTTTCAGCTGTTAGATGTGACCCTGGTCCACGGAAAGAAAAAACCCTTTTCTCAATAAATGTGAATAGAGTGTACCATATACTACATTATATAACTGTGGTGCTATTGATTATGAAATTGGAAAAACTCTTCCTATTGCTTGCTAGCAAGTCCTTAAACAGTGGGGATGTAATGTTTTTGTGGTACAAAGATTTACTTGTATTCTGATAAATGTGTCCTCTCAAATGACCAATACAAATTCTGTTCTTTCAACTCTGACTAATACAAACTCTGTCTGCCAAGTGAAATATGACAACCATATTTCATATCATGAGGAAGATATGTTTTTTCCCTCTTACTTTGTGTATTGTTACAAAAATCTTTTCACTTTTCTGTGGCTCCAGTAGTTCCATCAGCAGAAATTAACGATAATGTGCCATGCAATGAAAGATAAAATGCTCATACCATTTTTCTTCTCTCAACATGAATGAGAGCCTTAATATTGGAAGATTAAGTAAATGTAATTGAGCTTTAAGGCTTGACTATTGAACTGAAATGGTGCAACTGTAATGGGTACAAGTGTGACTTTGGTTTTAAAATCTACAATTTAAGACTTCAAATGTTATTGCAACCGATAATAGGACTGAACCAAATTTAATCTGATGCAAACTAGAATTGTTATTTCAAATCTACTTGGTTAAAGTTCAAATTTTAAACTACTCGATCTTTTCTGATGCAAACTAGAATTGTTGGGAATACTACAAGGCACTTCTACAGTTCTACTCTATGATAGAAACCAAATTTAATCTGGAAATATGGGAATCTTGCTACTTTTGTGAGACAACTAAAGAAGTCCAAAACAAGCAAAACAGAACTAGAATATAGTTTGTGCATCCATCTCTTCAACTTTGAAATTCTCTGTACAACAGAATATGTTTTGTAAGAGAGTGGTGAAACTGAATTCACCAGAATGTTTTTCTCTTTTCAGAAAAGAATGTTTGTGCTATTAAGAGTATACGCATTTATCATATGTTCAGTGTGGCCAAATCCTTAGGCTCAGTTTGGAAGGAGTACAAATACAAATATATAGGGTGCAAAACCTTATATTTTGTATCATTTTGTATGTATTTGCACTGTACATATTTGTATTTGTACTCTTCTCTTTTCAAACTGTGCCTAAATGAAGAAATAAATCATAAAATCACAACCATATTGACTTCACCAGTGTGAGCTTGTCTTACACCGCCAGTCCCAAGCCTGGATAAATGAGGGTTGTGTCAAGTTGGTAGCCAGCACTAAAACCTTTGCCAAACCCTCATGAATATGGATCGACTTACTCCTACAGGCCTGAAATACTTCCCACATTAGGACTGAAAACAAAAGGCCCTTATTCTAGTTTTATAATACACAAAGGTTCAAAGTATCAATACACCCAATAGGCACGAACAAGGATATCAGGTATTTCAATGCTTAATAAATTTTATTTCAGCTTTTTATTCAAAATTGCTTAGGCTGCATTTAGAAACGATGCAAATAAGTGTGAATGCAAATATGTAGTTTAAAATGGTTCATATAAATTGCAAAGTTGGATTAGTTTTGCACTGGAAAATTTACCTTCTTACCAAATAGACTTTCAGTTGTAATGGATGCAAACATGAATTCCGATAAAGCATATGCCTTGTTTTATCAAAAGCCCACTTGAATGCAAATTTACTTCTTTTTTATTGATGTACTTTTACATCTTATTATCAATGTAAATATGCATTGGAAAATGTATTTTCTGTCAATTGTCAATGCATAAATGTAATGTTGCCAAACACGGGCAAAAGTGAACCAGAGTGCAAAATTACCCTAAACCAAGATTTACACTCCATTTGCATCATTTCCAAATGCAGCCTTTGGGGGTTGGTTTTAGGCATGCACCTACCCCGTGGAACCACTCAAAATCCAAAACACCCCTCATTCGGGGTATCAGAAACCTCATAAAAGAGAACTTAGATAAGCCTAGTTGGCTAGTTGCAAGAATGGAATGCACCACCTCAGATGCAGTATGTATAACAAGGTCCAAGAAACATGTTTTTGATTCTGAACCTGAAAGGAAAAATCACTAATAAATTTAGAACTAAGTTCAATCCACTTTTACCATTAATGATATACAGAAAGATGGAAATTCCACTCCACGTGTGGAAAGATGACTAGTGATCTTCCTATTGGATCGTCCAAGTACCATACTCCATACTAAGACAAGTGTACCACTGTCCATCTGGCCATCTCTTTCTCTAAACTTCTCTGTTTCAGAATCATGTGCTTTAGTTCTGTAGTCAATCTTCCAAAGCTTTAACTGTTGCCAGGACCTGTCCATAAGGCTATATTTGTTTTGAAGGAAAAGGTAGGGAAACCTATATAAGGTTTGTAAACCTTTCCCTACTTTTTCCTTCAAACCAAACACATCCTTAGAGTAAATTAACTCCATCCCGGAACAATATAAGCAATATCTCCTGTCTAACCATATATTTTTAGCTAATGACTTCCTAAACTCTCAGTCATCCCTGCTAATCTAACTATCGAGACATTAGAGCGAGGCTTCTGTTAGTGCTTCACAAAGGTGGACTAATCCCATCAGAAAGTTTTAATCTTTTCAATGTAAGGTTTCCTCACAGAGAGGGGCAAATTGTGGACGCATGTCAAGGGGCCTTGGGCTGAAATTTAGTCCATCAGGATAGGATGAGGACAGGAACATGTGTAGAATTACAAGGGTTAACCAGAGTACCTGTATCTCCCACTCTGGTCAATGGTCTAGAGAATCCAAATTTGAACACATGGAGCTAAAGGTTAGGGGTGCAAGTCAGGCAGGGTTAGGTCAGGTTGTGGTCAACCAATTCAACACTAACCCAATCTAAGTTGTTGAACCCCCAGCCCTAACCCTAACTCTACCCAATGCAATCAGGTTAGGTTTGAGTTGGCCGAAATATATGTTCTTAAATTTAGGCTTAAGGACATTTTGGTTCTCCTTTCATATAAGTAATTTTTTTATTGATATCAATTGATCATATCGGATTTCCCCTTTATAAAATAGATTTGATAAGTAAGCTTCAATTTAGGCATAAAAAAAAACTTAGTACAGACGATAAGTAATTAATGTGAAGTTACTTGTTCAAAAGCAACTTATGATAATCCTATTGATTAACCAAACACGTTTAGTGCCAATTTGGGAGGGATTTGACATTGTTGATTTTAGATTTTATGAGGTGGAGCCTACTAGAAAAGCCCATAAGCAATGTTTGGTGAAAATTTTGGAGAGCCCAAATGGACTACTTTTAAACCACATATATAATTCATTGAAGCTTTTTTTAGTAGGTTCTTCACAAATAGTTGGCTAAAGCAATTGAACCAACGTTTAAACCCTCCCAAATAAGGCCTCACGATGGGTATCGCAGATAGTTTTTCATCCACTGGATCATCTAGTGAGCTTTCCTCGGCTATTAAATAATCTTAATTACATGTGTCAAGTTATTATTATTATTATTATTATTATTATTACAGGGGATCAACAGGTGGGGACAGAGCAGGGTGCACATGAGATTCACCGACCTCGCCACAGAAAGCATGCAGCTATGCAAATTTAAATCCACACCTACGTGACCAGAGTGATGCCAAGTGACCATCTCATTTAGGGGTGTCAATTGGACCGGATTTGGTCCAATCCGATACAGTTCAATATGAGTTCATTAGTAATGGATCAGGTCCAATCCAATCCAATGAATATTTTGAACCATTTCGAATTAGTCCAATCTGTTTAAATTGGTTTCAATTCAAAACTGGTTCATTGATATTTGTATCCTTATTTTCTATCAATAGACCAGATATTAGTTCAACCTGACTCAATCCAATATAAATTCATTTCAAATGGACTAGATCCAATCCAATACAATAAATACTTTGGACCATTAAGTCTGGACTGGTCCAATTCAATATGTCTTACTGGTCCGTCCAATCTGTCCAAATTGATTTTGAATTGGACGGATCCAACCCAAAAGCAGTCCATTGACACTCCTAATCTCATCTACTGGGTCAATAGTAGGTGGCAAATTTATTTAGAACTCAAAAGAGACTCCAACTACTTCAACACAACAATTGGACAATTACTCTAGTGTAATTTCTAAAACTGTTAAAAAAGAGGGACCTCATCAACTACCCAACTCAATGGTTCATTGGTTTGACCATCTGGGCCAACGATGGATTGAGAAAACTGATATAGCTAGATTGGCCATAAGATTCCTCTACATGACTAAAATAAGATAGTGTCAAGTAGGGAAGTTAATTAGGGTAAGTGGAGAACTTCCTTGCACAAATTCACCTATTCTTTACCATGGAACTAGTGGTTAATCTAGAAAATTGATAAGATAGGGAGCCCGTATGATTTACCATGGTTGAATCCTACAACCAACCTCAGCCCTATTTCAAAGCTTATATATCTAGAGAATGTTGCAAGGTCTTTTCAGCTTTTTTTTTTTTTTTTTTTTTAAGTTAAGGTAAATTTGCATTGAATTGTCAAAAAGAGGGGAAAGGAACACCCCCTATTAAAGTGCAGGAGAGGGTGATGAGGACTCCTCTTGAACCCTAAACTAGAGAAAAAGTCCTTTAGACCATTTAATAGGGTAACATACTCTGGTTGATATATGTTTATAAAGTTTGTACAAACCTAAAACACAATGATTATGACCTTTTTATTATTGAGGAAATTACAACTATTGAAAGCATAAGTCCACTTCAAAAGGGTAAATAAGAATACATTATTTTGGTCAATGGCTTCAAAGGATCCAAATTCCCCTAACTACTTTGCCATGTTACGTGGAAGAATTCTTGTATACTTTACAGAAGCTCACTAAGCAACTCAACTAGCATACAATCAATATCTTTTACCAAAGAAGCTTGAATGATAAATAAAAATCCTACATGTGACAAATTGGTTTTAGGAATAAAATAGCCCCACAAGTTTCTTTAACTTTGAGGTTAAACCTTTATTGCTTGTTTATATTAAGGACCCATTTGTTTTCACATGCCCTGTGAGTTTTTTGTTTCCATTTTTATCCTTGTATCTTTTTGTTTTTGCACCTGTTTAATGGGTATTTTTGTCCCCTTAAATTTTAGAATATTCCATAAGTGGAAAAATAATTTACCCGCTTGGGAGAGGGTAAGATTTTCTACGCAAGTGACCAAAAAACTTAGGGAAAGTATCATTGTCAAGAAAAAAGAACATGGGAATGTTGGTC